AGACAATATTGGCAATTATTGCCCGATTTGCCTGCTGTCTGTAATCTATAAACTTTTCGCGCAAGTCATCCTTAATCCGATTGGCAACGTACTAGATGAAGGACAGCTAGGCAAGTAGGGGTTCAGTACAATCGATCACATCCACATCGAAACAAGGGTCATTGAGGTATCGCGAGAATACAGAATACCGTTATGTATATCATTTATCGATTTGTAGGAGGCCTTTTATCGTCAGGACAGAGGCAATAATTGAAGTTTTACGCAAGCAATATATTTTCCTACGCAATATGTCAAAATGCTTCATGAACTCTGCAACAACATGATGACCAGAATGCCATCATTACACAAAAAAGTGGAAGAAGGCTTTCAGTAAGACGATACCACATCGTATCCGAGACTTCCATTACCGCTCTTGAGAACATCATGCGTAATTTGGAAGGCGAAGATATGGTAATGAAGGTGCAATGCTGTCATTTTGACAGACGACACCGTGCCTATAACACCGAACATTGAGCAGACGGAATTAATAATAGTTGATTTCGACTCTTGTTTGGAAATCAGCTTGCACTTCCCGAAAAATAAATCCAACGCAGCCAGCATAGAGCCGAACAAAGTGGTACGCTATGCTCCCTTAACACTGGAAGGATCGAACACTTCGAATGTTTTTGCTACGTGTATATAGTTCAATAAGTCGAACACGAACAACGCAGTAGAGCTAAACGGAAGGGGATGCGCTACTTCGGGAGCATTTGAGAATGTCGATGAAGAAGTGAAGAAGGCAAAGAATATGCCGCTTTGCGCTTTGCTTTTCCGCACTGAAGAGATGGGAGTTCTGCGAAAGTCATTCTGTCAGCTTTATTCAATGCGCTGTGAAAAGAATGATGCTAAAGGTTTTTTTGTACTAGTAAATGTGGGAGAGGGCTCTAGATTCAGTGGAACAGGAGTTATGATTTTCCGGTGGGACAAACAAACAAACAAACACACAGCAAAACTCACCAACAGACACGCGTAACGAGTTATACAAGTAAGATATTTCACCTTGATGTGTCGCACTGTAACTGCCATTCTTCATTTCCTCTCCGTTCCGTTACTTCAGGGTGCTCACCACCATACTTTGCGTAACCTTGGAAGTGTCTGATACTCTCCTCGATATACCGAGTAGTTTGCGAACGGCTAGATTGAATGGGTTCACAAAGTATAGAGTCACGAATGGGCTGGTGGCCGGATAGAAACTGAACAGGAATAATCAACTCAATTATATGCCATACTTATGGTCGGTGAGAACATACCTGAACAGCACATAAACGAGGTACTCGATAATTGTGAAATTAATAAATTCAAGGTGATACAGGCCATAAATAAGAATAGGTGGGAATATGAAAAAGAGTGGAAGAGAAGCTTGAATGATCAAGGCCTGAAGCGTGTATATAAGAAATTTGAAGGAATTTCATATGATATTTATCACCTTACCCGCATAAGTTTGCGATGACCTCTGATAGTGGACTCGCGCATGTTCTGAAAGATAATTCTAAAGTGAACACATAACGGCATTATCATCCTCAGTATATTACTGTTACTTTTGAAATGGTTGTTAACGAGGCTTTTTTGCAAGGCGGTCAAGACGAAGTTTGCTCCGAGTTTAGTATAATGTTCGAATGCATCCCTTTAAGCTTCAGTGGTCACGGCTTGGAGTTATGTGGAAGCTTCATTCTAGCTTGATTTTAAAGTATACTCTCAAGTTTCGAGGCTTGTTTCGACCGAATCTAACTATGATAAGATAGCCTTGGAATCAGCGAATGTTCTCGGACCGCAGTCAACGTTTTGCAAGGTTTCCTCTGGCGGGCATGATTCAGAATGGGGCTTCTCGGTTGCGTGACCCTCATATCAGCGTGCTATAATCCTTGCAAGATGACCTCTTTCTTGTTTCCTTACCAACTGTGCGTGCGTGTGTGCGCGTGTGTATATATGTGTGCTGTGTGTATTTCGCTGGATATATTACCTCCTGTTCTCTCAAAAGAGAGCGTACAAAACCAGAAAATGCGGGACCGGAATTATCCTTAACACGAAAAGAAGGAGACCGAATCCGGCGTTAGCCGCAAGATCCGAGATTAATCAATCAAGTGATGGGTTGAACTTATACTAACAATTATATCATAGCTCGTTTTGCAATAATTTCAAACAGTGTTATAAAGATTATAGATCCAGAGAAATCGAAACTCACCACATTATTACTGTCAAGTACTCCATCAACTTTTTTGTAAAAATACACGACAATCAAATAGATTGGGAACATTGGCAGTACAATTGTAGCTAGTGTCACAGAGGTGAGTGGGCTTTCGATCATGTGATTACCAGTAATGACGAAATCGGTGAGGTTATATTGCGGTTTGTTCATCTTCAGATATGATCTTATAAAATGTGGCTCTGATTGAGAGAAAATGAATAAAATCTGAAAAAAAGTGTTATTCTATTCAAATTCAAGCTTACAATGTCTGTTTTTTTCTAGAGATAGTTTGATTTCTCTTTTGGAAGCCTTTTAGACATTACTTTACACTGCCGTTTACTCTTTATTTGTCGTGGTAAACCACGACTTTCTACTTTAACGTGCCATATATAGTTAACTTCTCCCTTGGCTGGAATCTATAGAATTAGTCACTTGTTCTTAGAATGGATTTGACGTTAGTTTTTGTACGACATCTGCCAGTAATGTAACATCTGGAATGATTGCTACTGTACATAAGCCAAGCATGTATCACTCGAGGAGTCCAATAAAACTCTACCACTGAACGACCGTGACATTATTGCTTAGACGCTCAGTGGAATCAATCAATCGCTCTGACGTAACCAAATCGGGGAGCTACGAAGGAAATGGTAACATATCTCCCGAATTATTTTCACAAGCATTCACTATAGATCATGGGTGTGGTGCAGTTGGATGAGAATGGTCGCTTTGCGGCGAGAGCGACGCCGCGCGCGAAGGAATGTAGCAGAATGAAGCAAAAGCGGCACAGCGAAACATGCCAAAAATATTGATCCTACATCGATCGAGCTGTGTGACTAGAGCTGCAATAACGAGCTGACTAGTCCATGACTGCTGCGTGCGATGAATCGATTACTCGGAACCGATTCAATTGCACGTCTCCCATCTATAGCGTGAGGAAACCTACACTGTATTCTTCCCACGGAATCAATACAGCCAGTACAATCACTCATCCTTTAATCAGCTTGATATAAGGATACGCTTGTGCTATTGCGAAAGGTGACCGCTCCATGTTCTCTGACCTGTCCACTCGAAACTCTCGAAACTTTGGAATAGGCTATGTATGGAAGCCTTCTATTAAGCAGCATCTAGTTATACCGGCGTTCATATAATCATGAACCAGCTGCAGATCCGAAAGTCAAAACCAAAAATACATGAAGTCAAGCAGAGCTGTCACCCTTATTCAGAACGCTACTTCACCTTTTGTCCCTACCCTTACCACCGAGCTGCAATCGGCCTCCTCATTATTGTAGTGCTCAATTATTGAGAAAGTGATCAAATCAGTGATCGCCGTTGAGTTTCGGCTTTCTGGCAGGTTTTCAAAATGAATTTAACTCACATGTTGTGCAAAGGCAATCAGCCATAATCCAAAGCATATAACTATGCAACTTTTGATAGTTGGCATTGGGCGAACCAAAATGTGATAGCGATAGCCAAATGAAAGCGGATAAGACAGGTTCTGTCCCTACCCTTACCACCGAGCTGCAATCGGCCTCCTCATTATTGTAGTGCTCAATTATTGACAGAGTGATCAAATCAGTGATCGCAGTTGAGTTTCGGCTTTCTGGCAGGTTTTCAAAATGAATTTAACTCACATGTTGTGCAAAGGCAATCAGCCATAATCCAAAGCATATAACTATGCAACTTTTGATAGTTGGCATTGGGCGAACCAAAATGTGATAGCGATAGCCAAATGAAAGCGGATAAGACAGGAACGTATAGAACAGTGAGTGTAACACAACGCAATATCCTAGATAACATGCCATGGGCCCAAGATAATGTGCTGGTCCTAAAGCGACGTAAGCGAATGCCCATTTATTGGGTATCAACCTGAAATTTCTGTTTATGAATACTTACATCAATGTGGCGGTATTGAAAAGGAACAGTCTTGCTCTGCAGTAAGTCATATGAAGAGTCTCAGAAGCAGCACTTAAAACCTTCTATTGATGGGCAGAATCAGATTGATTCATTTGCTCCTTTCAATATCTTTCAGTTATATAACTCCTGCTGATACTATGGATTCGTCGGTACTATATAGTAAAGAGAGCTTCGAGTGCGTCTAGTACTCGCAAGCAGAAAAAGGAATGCTGACAGCATAGTGGTCTAACGAGCAGGTTTAGGTGAAGTATAGGTAAAGTTTAGAACGTGGAGGTGACCCTTTTGGAGGATCTTCTTGAAGAAGTTCAGATGAGCTCATTCGCATGAAGACAACCAGTATTGGTAAGACGCATAAGTGGTAACAAGAATATATCACATCGTCATATGTCATGTCTTTAGCTTCTGATTCATTGAACATTTCTCACTCATTATGCTCAACAAAATGAAAGTCACTTTAACTTTATTTTTGAAGTCTTTTTTAACATTACCCAATATAAGAAATATAATCACCACAGAGATCAAAAATTACCTCCTATAGTTAGAGCAAACCAGTGACGCCTTTCGTCTAGAAGACAGAAAACTTTACTCGAAGAATTCAATGATTGCCTTCTTCAGATCATAACAGATTACTAGCTTCATTCCAACAAAGTGGGACTTGAAACGGCAGAGCAGTTACCAAAAAGGACAACGTTCCGGGAGTGAAAATGATGAACAACTTCGAACCAAGCGCGGCCGGTGGAATTTCCATGGGTGTAGCGAAGTTTCGTCCAGCATCGTCGTTCTGTAGGTACTGGAGATAAGGTATTGGGCGTCGTTCTCTAACCGCATTGCCCACATAGGATTTGACGACGTCACCTCTATGAAGCCCTGCGTTACCACCTAATCTGCTTATATTAAAGGACTCATAGTGGATGCGTCCCTTCACGCCGCACAAAAGTATGAGACGATGCTTGTATCAACTCGAAAGCTATTATCCTCTGCAGTGAAGCGGTTCAACTAACTGTGATTAATTGATCGGTTAACATTGCTTTCATCGATTAATGCTGATAATTTCAGCCGCTACATTCGCTTTTTCCCTTGGGGTACACAGTAAACAGACGATGATATCACGAGTGGGATGTCTGATGGTGTCCAATCATTGATGGTAACGCTGCTAGAGCACACTGTGTGCCATTGTTTATTCACATTTTGGTTGCCCTAAATGTTTTGGGGTCTATCACCCTTGTTACCGTTCGCATTGCTAATAGAAATTTTCAACGCTTCGAATTATGTTCGGAATCAACTTCCATGTTCGCCTTTCCTTGAACCTGGGCATCTGTACTATGATTAGTCAATTCTTCTATGCCATACAGGCTTTTAATGGTGGAATCTTTATTGCCTGACGTTTCGACAAACAAAATCGTCTTTTTCAAAGGCCTGAAAGCGTATCGTAGCTTTAGAGTGTTACCTATCACGTTTGACGTAGACCAGCTCTTNACTAGTTGCAACTTGGTCAATCACGACCCTTTAATAGTATCGTGATGTGACACGTATCAGTCTCTATTATCATTATTATTATGTTATTATTATTATGTTCGGAATACTTCCATGTCAACCTAATAGGTTTTCTTCTTAAAAAAACGTGAAAGTGAGCTTTCAATATTGGGGACGAAATAAGGTCATCTGAGCGGATCATTTTTGATATTTCCGAAAAGCTGTATTTAACATTTATTTGATAAGTCGTCTTACCTTATTTGTGAAAAGGTCATCGCAATGGCGAGAATGAGGTCAGCAATGGCAGCGTTGGCCAGGAATACTCGATAGACTCGAACTGTTTCAGGGGCATGGAAGAATATCAAATAGAGAAGATAGCAGTTGACAACAATCCCGACTGTTCCAGTGCACCAAAAAATCGATGAAAACAGATAATCGTATGTAGACCACATCTGTAAATAGATTGACAGCTCTGTTGGTAATAAAAACGCGATGACAAAGTAAGGAGATGGGGCTAATGGCAAATGATTGATAAGATGAGGAAAAGCTTATCCTCCGATAGCAATCACTAATCAAGGAGACTCCTGATCACATTCGTAAGGACTCATTCGCTTTTTTGTTGCAAGTTTTTGGCTCGTTCGCTCTCCTCGTAGGTTTTCAGGAACTAAGTTGAGGATTGTGTACATGGGTGTAGGACCAGACTTGTTGTTAATGATACCCTTTATTCATGAATAGTATGTGAAAGGGCAAGTATCCAAGGCAGAAATGAACGTACAGTTCGCTCGCAGCTGCGCATTTCGAGCCTCAATGAAAAAAGTTCTATGCTTCACTATAAAGTTATCTACGGATCTCCTTCATCGAGAATTCTCTCTCACTGCAGAATTCCAGCTGGTTAGCGAGGACATTACGTAGGGCGTCTCCAAAGTATGACGTCATCGGGCGAGAAGGCATCGCCCGCTGCACGCTGTATTTGAGACTAAATAAGGTCTTTTCCTTGGAACATAGTTCACCAGAGGTGTCGGCGGCGTAGGTGCCCTCGTCATTTTGCTTATGGCCGATAACATCGATTGGTGCAAAAGCTTGACAACCCGAATCGAACGTTTGCGATTGAGAAGATGTGGCTCAACCCCAGCTCTAACAGTCTTCGTAGTTTACGCACCAACATCGAGCTACGATGAAGAAGAGCTGGAAGCGTTCTATATGGATCTGGAGAAGCTCTACAGAGAAGACCATACTTTCTTCAAGGTCATCGTCTCTGATTTCAACGCCAAGATTGGCCCCAGAAGAACGGCTGAAGAGCTTCACATCGGGACTCACGGAATGGAATGGAATGAGCAGGGTGAAATGCTGTCTGAGTTTACCATGTCGACACTATCCTTGATACTCGCAGTTCCAGTATCTCATTCTCTCATTTGCAATGGACATGGAAGTAACCTGGTGGACAGTTCATTATGAAACAGATCACACCATCCCAAACCGGAGGTTTTGCCTGCCTTATGTCGCTATTGTTCCGACGTTTCACGCGGGATCATCTCCATCGCGATTCTGTTTCTAAGTGCGTGGAGAGAGCCATGAATTTACGTTCATCGATTCGAAGAAGGCTTTTGATACTGTCAAGAAAGAAGCAGTAATTGAAGCCTTGGGCAGCAAGGTTTCTACTCAATATAAAGGATGCTTCGTGAGTTCTACGACAGCTTCACGACCAGGACTCATCATTCTACAAGAAGGTCATTATCGACGTGAATAGAGGTTCCGACAGGGCAACACCATTTCGCCCAAACTTTTCGATGCAGCTCTCAAGAAGATCATGCGTCATTTGGAATGGGAAGGTTTGGGAGTGAAGGTCGACGACTTCTATCTACATTCCCTCCGCTTAGCAGACGACATCTTGGTTATAAAACGAACATCGAGCAGGCAGAACGAACGCATTGACAGGGCTTGTGGAAAGATCGGTATGAGACTGAACCTGAGGAAGACAATGTTTATGAGAAACGGTCTGGTAGCCGATGATCCATTAATGCTGAGCGGAACGAGCAGTCGGGAGGTCAACATGATGATCGACGTAGCTCCGGAGCTGCGTGGAAGAGAACGTGCCGCGTGGGGAACGCTTGAGAATATCGAAGAAGACAGTGAACATCTGGCTCCACGCTTACCTTTTCGACAATGCTGTCCTTCCTGCTTTGAAGCACGCCTCCAAAACTTGGGCCTACGAAAGAAGGATGAACATGATGTTAGCGTTACTGAACGCGCTTTGGAAGGCGGTGCTCGGAATTTACCTGTGCACGCGAAAAGGAATCTGGAGATCCACGCTCCACCATCGAGCGAAGAGCAGATTACGTTGATACGCGCAGAAATCGAAGATCAAGTGGAAAATAATGATGACTGGACCGGAGCGGCTACTGATTGATCCCTCGAGACATCAAGCGAACCCCAGGCCGCCGACGCGATCGTCAAATTTTTCCACGAAAGCTCTGTACGGGAGGAGTGCTGAGCCCCTTGTCCCTGGTGCGAGTATGGTTTACTGGACCACTCTGGCTCGTGACAGAGACGAATGGAGCCGTTACTGGCGCCCGCTCGAGGAAATCGATGATCAAAGGGACGACTGGTGATACAAGTGACACTATAAGGCTCTTGGTAAATGACGTCAGGATTTTGTTTATGTTTTTTAACGCTTTCTTAATCACTGCGTCTATACACTCCACAACCACGGTGCAGCCTTCCAAGGAATTAGTGCAACTGAATCAAAGTGAGAAGCTTAGATGGAGTGGAGAATAAAGCGTTGCCGCTTCCCTAAGTGCCAGCACTTAGTTGGAGCGTTCCACTTACTACAAGATTGGTTAAGATTTCAAACCTGTGCGCAAGCTGTAGAGGGGGTCGCCAAAGTTGTCGGTCTTGGTAATGCGAACGGACACAATGATATGAAGACTAATAAGACAAGCAGGAAGAGGGCGAGCACTGCTCATGAAGACTAATAAGGCGAGCAGGAAGAGGGTGAGCGCTGCTCATGAAGACTAATAAGGCGAGCAGGAAGAAGGCGAGCGGTGCTTGCAGAATCGTACGTCAGACGTGCTATCGTTCTTTCTGAAACATGTACATAGCTCAAAAATGTAGCCAAGGTCATTAAATGAGGACGCTTATGTATGAATATGGGCTTTTGCTCATAGCCGATGCATTTAGTTCCTACATCGTGGCTGAAGTTCTCAACAGTGACAACAAAATACAAATAATCAAATGATATGAACTGGCAACTTTTCGGTAAGTTTCGTGACCTTCGAATTAATCTTTATTTATTCATAATGAGAATCCCGGAGAAACGTATACGTACGTTTCCTATGGGGTTTAAAGATTTCTTGCACGCTGAACACCTTTTTGTTAAAGAAAACTGTGTCGCGTCTGAGTAGGGTATTCTTTTTTTCTTCCTCTCAAACTTTCTCGTGAAAAATTCATGAGACTTTCGATACCTATCTGGATGTATTTGCTCTAGAAAGACTATTCTCATCGAAGTAGAACACACATACAGTCCAGCAGCCACTTTCTCGCGTTTCTGCACGTTTTAGCGTCACTGTTCCCAAGCGAATGTATTCGGGAAAGTCGTAATTAAGGCAAGACGTCCGTCTTAAGGCTGGCCGTTGACCGGTCCACGCATGCGATACAAGTGATGTCATGCGGTAAATGTCGAAACGACGAGAGATCTCGGAAAAGGGCTCACCAAAGGCGCGCAAACACGAAACAGTTGCTGGATGATTGCGAGGCTCCATCAATTCTCGAAAACTGACGAATTGAGAGCGCCAAAGCAGATATGTGAGCTACGGTATATGATAAACAAATTAGGGGCTTCATTAAAGTTGTTGATTTATGGCGCACCTGTATGTTTACATCGGGCTCATTAAAAGCACGGTCCACGATAATTTGGAGGTACCCCTTTTCAGTCGTAAAGCGGGAGTGTGGAGTGGGAATAGTTTGTCGGTAGTGAAGAGAGCGAGGAAATTTGCCGATTCAAACGAAAATGATCTCTGCTCCTCAAAGGTAGGGACAATAGCGTTGGACGAGTTTACCACGGCGGCAATAACATGGAAGGTGTATTCGGACGAGGTTTCAGTTGTTGCGATTGCATAAAGAGTTGACTACATCAATCATGAACTGTACAGAACTGTCTTTCGCTGTCGCTACTGGTCATGACAAATTGTTTGATTTCCCTACATTGGTTTTCTTGCGATTGGCGCAGCCTCTACAGCGCCGATGAAACTCGTTCACGCATACACACGGGACAATCTATGACCCCTCATAACGCCCTATCTATTCCGTTTTCAGGTATGACAACGCCATATACGGCATACGTGGACCCTACAGATTCATTCTAGCGGGATATCTCGGAAGTAATTTCGAGCAACTTTTTTGCCATCACGAGCAGTGGTTTTTCTTTGGTGGCGAGTCATTGTCATCAGCAAAGCAGCTGACCCTCTGTTAGCTAGAATGAATGAATATGGGACAGTGTCCGGAGTTTGGTAGGACAGAGCGTGAATGAATTCAGATGAGGTACTATTAGTGGGCGGATTCGCATAGAAGAGGCTCTGACTTTTCACAGAAATTCATTTGGTTGGTTCGAAGAACGGCTAAGAGCACAAAGATCGTTAGTCTCTCCGTCAGAACAGGCGACGACTTTGATTTGATTTGTTACCCCTTTCATGAAATATACGGTGTACCGCAGTATTCGCATTGAAGGAATATCAAATGTTTCGGGTCACTGGAATGAGAAAGTACTCATGGGAGCCAGTTCTGGGGAGTTTCTTTGTAATGATGGAAACAGTAAAACCAATCAGACAGAACATCAAAGTCTTAAATGAGGGCGAAACAGCGGAAGTTATTGTGGGCAATAGTGCAAAAGTGGGGACGAAAAAGCGAAAATCAGCGGATTTCTAGAAGAAAAAGGCTCAGAAAAGTAGTGAAGAAAGGGGTTGTACGGGGTTGTGGTGAGGAATGGCATGAAAGCGGGTGGTGTTAAGACGAGCAGTCAGTTGCATGGTATTGCTCCGACGCTATGCCCTGTAGAGCGGGCTACGGTGAACCAGAAATGCCGAAAATTGGGCTCCACACTGTCGCCATGAGTCATGTCTAGTTTTAGTTTTCAACAGTGTGGTCCATTGTGAAGGTAAAGCCTCTCAATGGTTTTTGAGCCACCTCTTGGTGACATACAGTGGATATCATTCGAGTCCCTATTACACCCTATCTAGACCATTTTTTGATCTTACAGCGCAATATATGGCATGCTTGAGGCTACAATTTATAACAGAAGATATATTTTAGGAGTCCTTTTTGTCGTGAACGGTGACAAGGCTAGGATGAGGTGTGAGCTGAACAATCGACTGACTCACCCTCCCCAGTGTTCCTTACTTTCAGGAGCTCAGGTCAAAAAACTTTACGTTCTCGACCAAGAAACGTTGCCGAGCACAACTACGGGGCTAACCTCATTAACTGCGCTCTAGCGCTCAGAGTTGAAAAAAGCGATCTCTCAACTACATTATCACCTCCGATTTTTGAGTAGACATGCATAGTACAATGCCAGTACAGATCGAAATCATAGGTCTGAAGTAACTACTTCACTCCACACCACTCACTTCACTCCGCAGTACTCGCTCCACGCCATTAACCTACCCACCAAGTTACTGCTTCCTATATAAGAAGGAAATACAGTATAGAGTTGGTCATTCCATATCACCACATTTATCGTAATCATGGGTTTTTGGATGGACAGACCGACAGACCGACACACCGAGTTACTTTATAAATAAGAAAGATATATCTTCAATATCACGGTGATAGATGAACGTGGCACCTCACAGCCCAGACCTTGCGACTAAAAGTTGTTCCACTCTCTGACTCGGAAGGAGCTGTTTCTCTTCCCACGCAATGGTGGGAGCACTGCATTTGATCTAGCACAGCACGACTAGAAGTTGTTCCACTCTGACTCGAAAGAAGCTGCTCCACTTCTCACGCAGTGCTGAGAACACTGCATGGGAAGAGGAGCAGTTTTCTCTGACTAAACTTATGCTCTCACGTAGAAAAACCAGTATTATAAATATAATGCTCTCGCCAACTCTCGCCAATCCAACTCGGCCAATTTCCAGTGGGTCCCGGAAACCCGGCACCTTCATGTCTGAATGTTAACATACGGTACATGCTTACGTTTAGACATTTTGCTAGAGTTAAAGTTAGCGTCAGAGGAAGTAGTCGTCGGATGATAGCTTCCAAAGTTTGAAATATGCTTCCGAAGTTCAGTAAACAAACTAAAATAGTTGTATACACTACAACAAAATAACTTGTTGAAGTTCCGCTTGAATGATTCGATGATTTGAGCCGAAATGAAATACGAAAAGATATATCCGGTTGTAAATGTAGAAACACGAATTCAAATATCAGCAAATTCACCAAGCCAGTGTAGCCACGTAGAACCCATGTAAACGCTATTCTAAGTGATGGTTGAGTGCGTGACGCATCGAGTATACAGCAGAAGTAATTTTGAGGTAACCTTTTCAGGCTGAACGGCGGAATTGTTGGACAAGAATAGTGCATCTGGTATGAAGGAAACGAAAAAATTTGCCGATTTAACAGGAAATAAAGCTCTTCAATTGTAGTGAAAATAGAGATTGCACGGAATTACCATGACGGAAATAACATGGAAGGGGTATTTCAACGAAATTTCAGTTGTTGCAATTGTGCAAAGAGCTGAGTACGTCAAGAATTGCCTTTCACTGTCGTCATAGGTCATGACAAGTTGTTCAAACTCCCTAAGTGGTTTTTCTAATGAGTGGTGCAGCCTCCACAATGCCGTGGAANGCCTTTATAACCCCCTTTCTGAGCCGTTTTCCGACCTATATGATACGATACGAGGGGTCTACGAATTTATCCTAGCGGGATATCTCATAAGCCATCATTATCGTGAACCTCGTCCAAGCATGGACCGCGCTGGCAAGAGCGCAGCAATTTCTAAGCATGGTATATTACGAAGCTTACTGGTTGACTGACTTTTGATCACACCCATTAGTGGTGGGAATGCCAATGAACGCCTTTTCATTGGGTAACCACTTTTCGTACTTGGCGCATAAGTGCCAGATGGCAACATTTAAGAGAACAGAAATCGTTTTATCGGTCATTTGTAGTACCTCGGCAGCAAAATGTAGTAGGTTATAATCGATGAATTATTCCTATTTTGGAGTTCCCTTTTTTTGTGGGAAGAAGAGCTAAGACACTCATGCAGAGTCAATCCTTACGTAGCGTTCATTTTCTCCATACGTCGGATTGCTAGATTTTTTTAAATGAAATTTCAACCTTTTTAAAGAATGCCAAAAGAAATCGTAAGAAAAAGCATCCAGGGAAAAATGAATGTTACAAATTAGCGAAAAGTCAAGG